ATAATTTAAATGTTAAATTATAATATATATATATATATATATATGTATATTATTGTTTTTCATTTGTTAAAATATTTATTTTAATATTTTATCAATTTAAGTCAACTTTTAAAATTTTAAATTGTTTTAATTTTAAAACATAATTTTAAATCATTTTTATCCAATTCATTAATTGAATCTCGTCTTATTAAATTTTATGAGACTATCGAAAATAAAAGCTGAAAAAATATTTAAAAAAATGAGTGTAAATTTTTTTCAAACGTCATATTTGTTTTTTAATTGTTCATTAGATTTATTATTTTACTCAATTTTCATCATATGTATAGTTTTTTTTTTTCTTACATCACTTAACTCTTATAAAAAAGAGGGTAACTTAAAAATGATTAGAATGAAAAACCACGTGACATAACCATCTAATTTCTATTGTGGCAAAACAGTGTAATTATCCCAAAAATGTTGTACCAAGAAGAAATTTTAGAAGCATTTGACAATCTTTTATGAGAAAGTAGCCTATGTCCTAACAGTTTAAATTAGTTCTGGAAATATTTAGCCTGATTTAAATTTAAGTTGAACCAAGTGTTAGGGAAGATAAAACTCTGTTCTTCTCTACTAATTCATTCCATTCACTATTGTAAACTAACAATTAAGTTCTGATTACGCTAAAGACGCAATGTACAGGGAACGAAACAATTTCCACAGAAACTTGTGTTAATATCTGTCAACAAGTCCGCACCAAAGAACCCCAGTCATCAGAATAATACTTAACCATCCATGCTACATATGTGGGGTTGTTACCATTTTACATATCACTCCCTTTCCAAAACAATTTCTCTTCATACTTTGGTTTTACGGATTCGCTTTCACACTTCGGAAAACATCTTGCATTAATCGCTCATGCTCTTTCAACATGTCATCAATGTTGCCACCTGGAGGCACCAATGGCCCAGAGCAGTGTATCCTACTTTTCTTCGGAAAATAGCCCTGAAATCACAAACAAAGCCTATGTAACAACAAATCTAAATAGTTCTAAGAGGAACAAGTACAAATATATACCATATGCAAAAAAGTTGTAACGTTAACGTGTGTGTGCACTCTTCTATTTTCAGGTTGACAAATTGTTGTATTATGAAGTTCTTATGCAGCACATACAATAATATGCTGTAAATTTTCATAATTAATAAGAAAAGTGAAACACACTGATGAACAGATAATATTCTATCTCATGTTACGTATCACATGGTTGGTTTCATGACTAAGAGAACATATTTGGATACAACATACAAGTTAGAGTACTTCTCAGAGATCTTTTATTGAAGAATTTTCTTTAATTAATAAAAAACACTACCAAACTTGTATCCAAACAAGTTTTAAAGCAAACTAGAAATGACATAATAAAGAGAAGGTTGTTCTTTACCATCCCATGTTCCTTTTTAATGGAAGCGGCAGACAAATCTGCTGCTGCATGATTCATATTAGACTTGTGTGTCCAGAACTCAGGATTCAGCCTAGAAGATTCTTGTTTCTTACTTAACAAGGATGGCATTGCTATACTGTTGGTCATCATTGAAGTAGAATGTGTGTGGACATTGTGTAGACTTGTTTTGTTAGGATCGCTGATGTCGTTACGCACACCATCCTCCTGGGATTGATATTTAAGACGGGACATTCTTGTATTTGACTTGCCCTGCCAACGTTGATGTAGCCATGAGATTGAGAATTGAACAAAAATGCAAATGATAATCACCATGGATATCATATGTCCACAAACTTACCCGCATAGATATATTTCCCTGTGCATTATAATCTGGTGTTTCTAGTACTTTGGTTTCTCCTGGTCCCCTATAAACAGATGCTGGTGCTCGTCCTTTAACAGCTTCCACTTTTTTCCTGATTAAAAAAGGGTAAAGTTCTATGAATGTAAATGGCGCTTCCAATCACAAAATTATATGTACCAAAATAACAGTGTATTAAATCTTTAATTGGATGCAAATGTTTTAACGTGGTCTTAGCTTCCCCCAAACTATGTATCTTCATCGTATAGTTTTAGTCCTTGTATTCACGTAGACTGGTGTTACTTTCATGCTTATTTTCTCAGAGGGATCTCTAGTCTTACCATGTTTCCACCAAGGAAAATGGTAATAATGAATAATGTGACAAAAATAATTAGGAGTATATTTAACTAAACTTCTTCGTAAAGATCTCTATAAAAAAAATAATTAAATAAAATGAAATAAATTTGTTTATAAACTAAAATTAACTTATAGATAAGTTAATTTGTAGACATCTTTTTAGTTGAATTTATACAAATTATCTTATATTAACTTTTTAAAAAATTTACGTTAACTTGTGTATAAACTAATATTAGTTTATGAAGAAATTATTTTTTTTAAATGTTTTTAGAAAAATTTACTTTTTCAAAAATTTACTTTAACTCGTACATAAGTTAATATTAATTTATGGAGAAACTGCTTTTTTTTTTTTTTTTCTAAAAATGTTGCTAGGAAAATTTATTTAAACATACCCTTAGACAATGAAATCTACTTAACAAGATAAAGGTATAAATTTGTTATATTTGTTAGACATAACAGAGAAAAAAATGTAAATGAGACCGATGATAAATCAATTAGTATCTTCAAAATTTAGGGAAATAAAACTTATAATACCTTGAAGATTCCTTCTCTCGACGCTTGGCATCAAACTCCTTGCTTGGTGAAAACTTAGGTAAACTTGAGGGATCACAAGGTAATGGGTTTGTAGTGAAGAACTGACAAATATCCAACATGAGAAGTAATAAGGTAAGTAGGATACCCAGAACCATAATAGAACATAATCAATATGAAAAACAGTAAAAATAAAAAAAAAAATAAAAAAAATAAAAAGCCTAAAAGAATATATGAAAAAAAAGACACATTTTTCTTTGTATGGTGATGACAACAATCAAGCTGCAATTTCAGGAAAGTTAACTTTTATAAAGGACAACACCTAGAAAACACAACATGTCTATAGAGTTATTACACAAGTTGTATTTTCATTGACGAACTGTTACATTTGTTGTTCTTATAGCTGTTAAAATGTATTTTCATTGAATAACAACACAAAGTTCTAATAGAACAACGCCTAAGTCTTGTTCTTCTCTAGAATCAAGCATGATAACATAATTAATTTCCATGCAAATTGCAAAGTATGCTTAAAAAAAGGATAAAAGACAGCCCAAAATTACCTCACTCTCAAGTGCGGAAGTTGCAGATCCTCTATCTTCTGGTTCTATTGAAAGGAGCTTATCAACAAGAGCCAATGCTGTAGGAGAAAAGTTTTTAAATGTTTCGGAAACTTGGCGGCTGTAAGGTTGTTGTGGCTTAAAACTTGTTGCATGGGGAAACTTTGTTCTCTGCCAATAGTCTTCAGATGGAGAACCACAAAGTTTAAAAATTTTGTGCATTTGTTCCACCTGCATACATTAAATCATTCTCAATGGAGTTCTGATAAACATACAATACTCATATATTGGTTCTTAAAAAATACCTCTGTCCTTCCAGGCATGATAGGCTTCCCCGCTTGCAATTCCGCTAGAATGCAACCAGCACTCCACAAGTCAATTGCAACTCCATACTCCGTAGCACCTAGCAAAAGCTCAGGTGCCCTATACCACAGAGTCACAACACGACTAGTCAATGCCTGCTTTTTATTAGGATCATAAAGTGTTGCAAGACCAAAATCCGCAATCTTAAGATTTCCATTCCTGTCTATCAGAAGATTTGAACCCTTGATGTCACGGTGCAACACACCCCGACTATGGCAGTGTTCAAGCCCACGAAACAGTTGTTGCATATAACATTTTACCTGCCAAGCCAATGAAAAAATACTTCAACACCATACAGCTACAACATTTCACCACTCTTTTTGCTAAACAAGTTACAATCTTCTACTTATAACTAGTAAGCTCTTATGTTTAAAATGAGTAACTAATTTAAAAGTACTTTTTTATGCTTTAACAATAACATGCATGACATGTATGTACCTGCGGTTCAGTGAACTTCACACCATGTATAGTTGCTAGCCCAGCAAGGTCATGCTCCATGTATTCAAAAACAAGGTACAAACTGGTGGATGTTCTAGAAGTGACAATACCTTCGAGCTTCATGACGTTAGGATGGTCAAGTTGACGCAAGATAAAGATTTCCCTTGCCATGAACCGGACACTTTCCGGATCTGTACTTGAAAAGCGAACCTTCTTCAAGGCCACAATTTTACCAGTCTCAAGGTCACGAGCTTTATGCACACTGCTATAAGCCCCTTGTCCGATCTGCAGATACAACAGCATTCACTCGAATGTAAATTAGTTGAAACAATTTGAAACAAAAGTGCGCATGAAGAAGTGATATTTGAAACTAACTTGGTCAAATTTTTCAAAAGAGTCTGCCCTTCGAGGCACCCACCCTTTGATGGCTTCTGCTGCTACTGAAGATAACCACATTGGCCATCCAACATCAACATATTCTCCAGCAAAATGTTGCACACTTAGTATTCTATTCATTAGTGGCTTTCTGTCACCTACACCAGAATTCATTGCGATGCACTTCTGGAGCTGGCTTTTTGTGAATTCCAAGTGGTTGCATTTATCTTCTGATGGCACTTTGATAGACCCTCTAATCACTTGTGATGATGACTTAGTCATTCGGGGCACCGAACCATTCCTGCTACCATCATCAAACAAAGTAGGAGCAACCAATTGTACTGAATACTTGTTCCATTCCTTTTCCTTGTCTTTCTCATATTCAAAAACTTTGTCATTGTTTGAGGACTTAAAGCATATGCACCCCATATTCTTACAAAAGGGTTGTTGGTGTTGGTGTTGCTTCAATCAATCAATTAATGTCTACCTTTTTTTTTATGTGAAAGTTAAGCAACTGGGTACACTCGTATTTTGTTGGGAACCCAGAAGCTCCCACCCTTCTAATTCCAATGGTCAAGTAGCCATTAACCGTGAAAACTTGTATTGGACACCCTTTATTGAGAACAAAGACGATCATGCCAGTGGAAAACCCACTGGCGAAATCAATGCTGCAATGTTTCTATTTGACTTATTTCCCACGTAATAAGAATTCATAAGAAATGGATATGGCTTTCAAAATTCAATGCTTTGCCCCTCCAGATTCCCAGAGTGAAGAATCTTAATGGGGACTCAAAACAGAAAATGGCACAAGATTTTGAAATTCAAGCGTTCTAAATGAATATGTGAACAGGAAAAAGTATAATCAAAGAAGGACACACCAAATCAAAGGGTTGAATGAGTGTTGATAATTCAATTCAATGGAGGTAGATGGCAAGAAATGAAGGAAAAATCTGAAATTCCTTGACCTTTAATTTCCCGCTATTAACACAGAAGGTGACAGACGCAACACAACACAACAACACAACAACGTAGGAGATATTTTTGTCGTTTCTTTGTTGAAATCAAAAGCAAAATAAACGAAAAAAAGATGATTTTGATTGTTGTTATGTTGTGTAAAGGGGGAGGTTAAGGGAAGGAGGGACATTAATGGAAAAATGAAAAATGAAAAATGAAAAAAGGGTTTATTTGATAATGGTTTTGATTTGGAAAAATGGTTGGAGGGAGGAAAAGAGAGATGAGAGATTTGCGGTGTCTGTGCGAGAATTGCGAAACACCAACTCTTCCTTCCTTCCTCCCTCGCTGGAAACACTCTATTCTTACAAATCAACTAACTAACTTAACGTTTTTATCAAATTAACATTAATGAAATCCATTGAAATGATTTTTACGTTATTATCTTTTTTTTAGAGGATTTTTACGCTATTATCTAATTTATTACCAATTATCGTATTCATTTTTTTACCTTATTATTTAATTTATTACAAATTATCTTATTGATTTTCTAAAATTTTTTATTAGAAATCAGAAATCAGACAAGACTCACAAGAGTCACATCAACCTCTTTTAATTTTTAAATAATTAAACTATGTACCGACAATATTGTATAAACTCTTTTAATATTCATCATAAAAGCACAACTATTACTGTGTCATAATGCCAGTTATAAATTTTCAATAAGACTTAAATATATTTTTATCTTAAAATTGTGATATTTTTAAGTTTTCATTTTCTATAAAAATTATATTCATTTATATTTTTTGGATACATATATTTTTCTATTAGATATAATATATTTTGTTCGAGATAAATATGATTAAATTAAAAAAATTTCGCACAAATGATTCATATCGGTAATATTTATTTTTCTTTTAAACATTATAAATATATTTCGTTTTAATTATTGAATAATCAGGATGAGCTTGACCTCGGCTTGACTGTTAAATTTAAGGTTTTAAGCTTGATATGTTTATTGAATATAGGTTATTTTAAGTTTTTTTTTTAAATGCTAAACCTAACTTGAAAATTTATTTTGTAACATGACCTTAATAATAATAATAGCAAAGCCTACATAATGGTACAACATACTTTTTAATATGAGTAGAAATCTTTTCCATTTCTTCTATTACTAAAATTTTAAAAGTATATATGTCACATTTCTTAAAGTATGCATCAATTCCATCAACTTCAACTTCATTTTATTGATTTTTTCAAAAAATTTAAAAACTGAAAGAAATGGAGAGAGAGAGAAAAAAAAAAAAAAAGAAGAGGTCCATTTTTTTCTAACTCACTCATTCAAATACACTTTCATTAATTAATTGAAATTTACTAGAAAATACAAAAATTGGTAACTTTACACCTTATTTAATAACTATCTTTCACAATTTTGTAGCTTTGTATAAAATTTACCAATAAAAATGAATATATTAATAGAAATATATTAAAGAGTATGTTATTAAAATTAATCTTATATATTTATTTAAAGGATTAATTTTTTTTAATAAATAGATAGATGAAACAGTAGTAACAACCTTCAAATAAGTTGAAGGCGGATCCGGATTCTCTGATTTGGAGATATAAAAGTTATGGTAACTTAATTCATTTCAACCGTTAAATTTATAAAAATAAATCACATTGTGACACGTGTACAAAATATATTTTGATTTAAATGTATACGTGTCATAATCTGATCTATTATTACAAATCCATCAGTTTAAACGTCTTAAGTTACCCTAACTTTCCTTCCATAAGATTAGGGGATCTATTTCCGTTGAAGGCTTTGTTGTATTGTGGACGCTGACAGCGAAAGAAGGAAGAGCAAGATCATAGATTTCCTGCGGCACCCAGAAATATCTGTTCCGACGTGGCATTGTTTTCATGGAAAAAATAAAGACTTTGAATTTGGCAAATCTAGTGCAACTCTGCATCACCAACAAAGCTCATTCATCTGCCAAAGTTCTCCACGCTCGACTCTTCCGTCTCCACCTTTTCTCCGACACCTTCCTCTCCAACCACTTCATCCAACTCTATTCCCAATGCAACCACATTGCCTCTGCACGCCACGTGTTCGACGCAATACCTCACAAAAACATTTTTTCCTGGAACGCCATCTTGGCCTCCTATTGCAAAATCCCCGATTTGCAACACGCGTGCCGTCTCTTTCTGCAAATGCCTGAAAGGAACACCGTCTCATTGAACACCATGATCACCACCATGGTACGGTGTGGCTATCAACGCCAAGCATTGGATACCTACGATTCAATGATGCTGGAACATGGAGTTCAACTTAAACCCTCCCATATAACATTCGCTACCCTTTTTAGTGCTTGTGCTGCTTTGTTGGATGCAGACTGTGGCAGGAGATATCATGGGGTTGTGGTCAAATTTGGTCTTGAAAGTAATATCTACGTCGTTAATGCTCTTTTGTGCATGTATTCTAAGTGCGGGCTAAATGTGGATGCACTTCGTGTTTTTGGGGACATTCCTCAGCCTAATGAGGTTACTTTTACTACCATGATGGGCGGATTAGCACAGAGTAATCAAGTCAAGGAAGCTTTAGAATTGTTTCGGATCATGTTGAGAAAAGGGATTCGTGTTGATTCTGTCTCCTTGTCCAGCGTATTGGGTGTTTGTGCAAAAGGGGAAAGGGATGTTGGTCTTTGTCACAATGCTCAAGGAAAACAAATGCACGCACTATCAGTTAAATTGGGGTTTGAGGGAGACCTCCATTTGAGTAACTCATTGCTTGATATGTATGCCAAGATTGGGGACATGGATATTGCTGAGAAGGTTTTTGTTAATATGAATCAGCGCAGTGTTGTTTCTTGGAATATAATGATAGCTGGGTATGGGAACAGATGCAACAGTGAGAAGGCTGCAGAGTATCTTCGGAGAATGCAGAGTGATGGATATGAGCCTGATGATGTTACTTATATTAACATGCTGACAGCGTGTGTTAAGTCTGGGGATGTTGGAACCGGGCGTCAAATATTTGACTGCATGTCATGCCCAAGTTTGACTTCGTGGAATGCTATACTCTCAGGATATAATCAGAATGGTGATCACAGAGAGGCAGTTGAACTGTTTAGAAAAATGCAGTTTCAATGCCAACATCCTGACCGGACTACTTTGGCCATTATTCTCAGTTCATGTGCTGAATTGGGGCTTCTTGGGGCTGGAAAGGAGGTTCATGCAGCATCTCAGAAGTTTGGATTTTATGATGATGTCTATGTTGCTAGTAGCCTTATTAATGTGTACTCGAAATGTGGGAAAATGGAGTTGTCTAAGCATGTGTTCAGTAAACTGCCTGAACTGGATGTTGTGTGTTGGAACTCAATGTTAGCAGGATTCTCAATCAATGCTCTTGAACCAGATGCCTTGTCTTTCTTCAAACAGATGCGTCAACTTGGCTTCTTTCCCTCTGAGTTTTCTTTTGCTACCGTAGTGAGCTCTTGTGCAAAACTTTCTTCCTTATCTCAAGGTCAACAGTTTCATGCTCAGATCATAAAAGATGGTTTTCTAGATGACATATTTGTGGGAAGTTCTCTTATAGAAATGTATTGTAAATGTGGGGATATACACGGGGCCAGATGGTTTTTTGATATGATGCCCGGTAAAAATACTGTTACATGGAACGAAATGATACATGGTTATGCACAGAATGGAGATGGTCACGAGGCTCTATGCCTTTACAATGACATGATTTCATGTGGTGAGAAACCTGATGATATTACCTTTGTTGCTGTTTTAACTGCTTGTAGCCACTCATCTTTGGTTGATGAAGGACTTGAAATATTCAATGCCATGCTGCAAAAATTTGGAGTGGTGCCAAAGTTGGATCATTATACTTGCATCATAGATTGTCTGAGCCGAGCAGGGCGATTCCATGAAGTAGAAGTCATTCTAGATACCATGCCATGTAAAGATGATGCAGTTGTATGGGAGGTTGTGTTAAGTTCATGCCGTATTCATGCTAACTTGAACTTAGCAAAAAGAGCAGCTGATGAACTCTATCGAATTGACCCACAAAACTCTGCCTCTTATGTGCTTCTTGCAAACATGTATTCTTCTTTGGGAAGATGGGATGATGCACGTGTTGTAAGAGATCTCATGAGTGACAACCATGTTCGTAAGGATCCCGGTTATAGCCGAAGTGAGTGCAAGAATGATATGCAAATCATTCTGGAAAACGAACAATAATCTTTTATCTTGGTTGGCATTTGCCAATAAACTCGAGAAATAATGTCTTGTTATGATGGTCGTTGAAATCTAACCACCTCTGCAGAATCTTGAGAAATTCTACAAAAGGGAGCTCTTGTTATGGAGTGAAACTATCACCAAGTTAATTATGGTTAGTTTCACTGTTCTTAATCCTCTGCAGAAACTTGAGAATTTCTACAAAAGGGTGCTCTAGTTATGGAGTGAAACTATTACCAAGTTAACAATGGTTGTTGGTTTCACTGTTCTTAATTCCTTATAATCCTCTGGAAGATGTTAATAAATCTCCTGATGGCGCTTTTATAACTATCAGTGTAAATCCAACTTTTCGATTGCTTATCAAACATGGAGATTGATGTCATTTGGATGACATATTCCAGATCCCCTTGAAAATTTTCATGGAGCATTTCTACGATAAAGAAATTACTGCTATGCCAACTTAGGAAGGCAGAGACTAGAAATTAAAAGTGTTACGGCTTGAGGAATCTATTCTTGCAGGATATATTTTGTTACCATTACGTAGACACCTGCTGTTGCAACAGATGGGTTTAAGGATGGGTACTGAACAAAGATTACAAGTTTGTATAAATTTATTTTTTCATTCATCTAGAACTTCCGAAAATTGTTTATATCCTTATTACATGATTAATATAAATTTATTTGTGAGAATGAAGTATCAAATCATCTTACATTAATATAAAATTTGACATATATGATCTAAGAGATATGAACTTTCAATCTAACGGTTGAATTTTCAAAATTCACATTTAATATAAAGTTATTAAGCGGTGTAACACTTAGTAAAAGTTATACCGATGTCGTTTGAACCCTCTTTATATATATATATATAATGTAACAAATATGTTACTTGTTAATATTGTTGTTGCAAGTCATTGTTTGTTGAATATGGTGCATTGTATAGTCAAATTCAATCATGATTATATATTTAACTACTGTATTTATTAAATATTATTTATTTATTATTTTCATTCAAAAATATACTTAAATGAACTAATTTTAATACTTATAATTTTTAAATAATATATCATTAAATATAATATATATAGAAAAATTAACAAATATGGCTACATACAATGTATTAATTAAAGGATAAAAATTAATAAATAAATTACTGTATACATTTGTATATTATATTTCTATTTTTCATTTTTAAAATATATTTATCCACTAATTCTTTTAAATAATAAAAAAAATTATTAATGCATTAAAACATATTTTACATTTTTAAATTTAAGTAAAAAGTTCAATAAGCATTCATCCTCAATGTAATTAAAAAAAGATTGGATTGTTGACTAATTTGATAAAATTCTTAAGTAGTTATTATAAAAATAATAAATTTCTCTAACATCATAAATTCATGATAAGATAACAACTGAAAAAATATATTACATTTATTAAATATCCTAATCAATATTTTATACGTAAAAATATATTATATTTATTAAATATCATAATTAATAATTACTAAATATTATTATATTTTTCTAATATTATAAAGTAAATTGCTATTTAAAATAATTAAAAATACAAATATATGAAAACCAATATATCAAAATGAAAAGAAAAATTTGGATAAAAATATCTTAATAATTACTAATTATTATTAAATTTTTGAAATATTATATAGATTATGACTTAATAAGTTTGGATCAACTTTTTTGACATTTGGATTAGGCCTAACTCGATCCAGTTATATATTCTTTGTCATTCTTGCTTAATAATGAGTTTATATTTTTTTATTTATTCATAGTATATTGTAATAATATCATATATTTATTTTAAATTTTATTTAATATTAATGTTAATTGTTCAAGTAGATAATATTGTAATAAATCAACAAATTTATTTTAAAATTTATTTATGTGTCGATAACATTTTATTTGTAACAAGATATCAAACGATTTACATTCATTAAAAAATATTTAATTGAATTTTTATAAAATATAAATAAATTTAACTATGTTGTTCGATTGACTCACCCCAATTCAATTTGTTCATAATCGAGCTGTGTTGAGTTTTAAAAAATTGCACAAATATAATTTAACCTTATTAGTTAAATTTTAATCATATCGAATAATGAATCCATCAAAATCCATCCAACCCAATCTACTTAAACCCCTATTAATTATAAATATTCGAGTAAAATTAAATTTAAATTTTTTAAGTAAAATTTCAAGATCAAACATTATAAAGGAAAAAAATATTAGTAAAAATTTGGAAAAGGCTGAAATGTGTAATATACATAATTAAAATAAAATATTTTAAAATTAAATCAAATAAATTAAAATTAATATTTTTAATTATAAAACTTACAAATAATACTGTATATTGTGAAAAAATATACAAGTTATTTAAGAAATGTTATAAAGCTACTAATTATTTTAATGTAAAGCTATATCTTTTATAAAATTCATAAATAACATCTTTAATTATTTTTTGTGTTGAATATTATAATATTTAATTGTGATTCATATAATATGTATAGATTCATACAAAAGTAGTCAAAATATTTAATTAACAGAAATTATATGGATTGACTGGCGAATAAAAATGAAGGACATGAAGCTGAAAGTTGACCATGCATTGATAACTGCTAATACTTTAGTATTAGTTAGCACTTAGCATCATTCTTATATATACCAACACGTCCTTGCTATCAATCATTCACATTCATGCGCATGCACATCCTTTCAGAGTTTACAGTTTCAGCAAAGCACAAAGGTGAAGATTGAAGATCGATGGAGGGAAGTATCCGCTGCTCTGCCAACTACGTTCCTCTTACTCCGATCAGCTTCTTGGACCGCGCCGCCGTCGTTTACAGTGACAAGCTTTCTGTGGTCTTCGGTGATGTTTCCTACACATGGTCACAGACACACCAACGCTGCATCAAACTTGCCTCTTCCATTTCTCAACTCGGTGTTTCTCCCCGTGACGTGGTTTGTGCATCTTTCCTTCTTTCTCTTTGTTTTTTTTTTATTTATTGATTTTCAGCGATACAAGTAATATAGTCATGAAAGAAAAGTGATTGTATGTTTATAATTTTGAGAAATAATACATAGTATTAAATATTAATACAATAATATTGTGATATTTGTGCTTATGAGCAGGTTGCTGTATTCGCTCCAAATGTTCCAGCTTCGTATGAGCTACACTTTGCGATTCCCATGGCAGGTGCTGTTATCTGCATGCTGAATACGCGTTACGATTCTGCAACGATTTCAACGTTGCTAAAACAGTCTGAGGCCAAGCTTCTTTTCGTTGATTATCAACATCTTGATCTTGCTCGAGGAGCACTTGAAATCCTTTCCAAAACCACCACCAAGCTTCCCCTTGTGGTCTCAGTTTTGGAGTGTGGACACCCATCACCTCTCACTGCTAAAGGAACCTTGATATACGAGGATCTCATAGCTAAAGGGAGCCTTGAATTCGAGGTGAGGAGGCCAAAAGATGAGTGTGAAACAATCTCAATCAGTTACACTTCCGGAACTACAGCAAACCCCAAGGGAGTAATCTACAGCCATAGAGGTGCTTATCTCAATGCTTTGGTTTCAATACTTCTTAACGAAATGAGAACCACCTCGGTTTACTTATGGTGCGTTCCCATGTTTCATTGCAACGGGTGGTGCATCCCTTGGAGTATGGCTGCTCAAGGTGGCACAAATATCTGCCTAAGAAATGTAACTGCTGAAAGAATATTTCACAATATTTTTAAGCACAAGGTAACCATGGAATGATTGTAGAAATATACTTTTCAACAAGAGTATTATATCTCATGTATACCAAGAATCCACATAGGTCTTCACATTAGAGTGATATTTTCATTATCTCTCATAAATTTACTTTTATCATATGTCTATATAGATTTTGCATGTGTTCACGTTCATTCTCTTGTTTTATGTGACTTTGTATTCTAATAGGTAACACACATGGGAGGTGCACCAACAATCCTAAACATGATAATCAATTCACCACCTGAAGTCCGGAAGCCGCTTCCGGGAAAGGTGGCGGTGATGACTGGCGGGGGGCCC